CTGTATTGGTAAACACACAATATGCCTGTATTGGTAAACACACAATATGCCTGCATTGGTAAACACACAATATGCCTGCATTGGTAAACACATAATATTCCTGTATTGGTAAACACACAATATGCCTGTATTGGTAAACACACAATATGCCTGTATTGGTAAACACATAATATGCCTGCATTGGTAAACACACAATATGCCTGTATTGGTAAACACACAATATGCCTGTATTGGTAAACACATAATATGCCTGTATTGGTAAACACACAATATGCCTGTATTGGTAAACACACAATATGCCTGTATTGGTAAACACACAATATGCCTGCATTGGTGTGATGAAGTTTTTATACCAGCGTATTTGTTTTCAAAACATCTTAGATAAGGTGCAGATAGAAAAGTCAACAATTGTGTTCATGGTCTATTTTTATTTTTGATGTCAGAGTAGCACTGTCGTTTACTTAAGAATCACATTACCTATTTAAGCCTATCTTGGCTTGTTCATTTACTTTAAATTTTGACTTATATTTGTTTAATTTTCAGCTCCGATATCATCTGCTTTGAGTAATAAATATGGATACCGTCTAATTGCCGTTATTGGTTCTATATTGAGTGCTTTTAGTCTGTTTATCTGTGCGTTTGCTAATGACGTCATAGTTCTATGCATCACAAGTGGATTCTTAGCAAGTAAGACATATACATCATTAATTTTTTTATAATGATATTGAATCAATAAATTATTCTGACTCGATTTAGTTCAATACAGATGACTACATGACCTGTAAAACTTGTCTAAACTGTAATCTGACAGTGTCTTATAAGGACATACAGATCTTAAACAAACTGCCCCACCTGTCTGTCAGTATGCATTGCCCATTAAATCATGAGTGCAACAGCATAGAGTTAGAAATTAAGACAAGTGCCTGAACTGTATATCAGGCACATTATACTATTGATTGTTTACGTGTTTTTTGTATACTAATCTTGTTCTTAAAGAATGGGATACAAGATGTTGGGGATCAAATGTGTTCACTTTAGCATTTGACTTTGAAGATATATTTAGTGTAAGCTAAAAGGAATTTGGAAGAATGTACTGTGTATCCAAGATATCCTGTAGGCTTTTATATTACTGTGTAATGAAATGACATGAGTACTCTGTTTTGATTATTTTCAGATTTTGGACTTTCGTTGTCTTATGTGCAGTCCTTCGCATTATTGGGACACTACTTCAATAAAAAACATGCTCTTGCAAATGGATTAGCTTCTGCTGGATATGGATTAGGGGTGATGGGACTTCCTATGCTATGTCAATGGTTGATCATTACCTATGGTTGGAGAGGCACCTACATTATTTTCAGTGGATTGGCTGCAAACCTTTTAGCTGCTGCGGCACTGTTAAGACCACTTCCAACTGACAAGAAAGAGGATTTAAAAATTAGTGATGTCATCAATGATAAATGCCACTCATGTATATGCAGAATCTTTGGTTGTCACATCATTTGTGCTAGCCCACTGCTGTTAGGAATACTAGTTGGACTGTTCTTTCTTAGTGCATCAAGCCATACATTTGTAACATTTCTTCTGCTGCGTGTTTCTGATCTTGGAGTGGAACCCATGCATGCTTCTTATTTGATAACTATACTTGGTGCAAGCTCATTTGCAACTCGGCTCCTACATGGCTGGTTTGTGGACCGCAGAGTAATCTCTCCTGCTGTTATATTTATTGCAAGCATTGTTCTTTGGGGGCTGTTAAACTTGGCATTTCCTGTGATTATTGGCTACTGGTGGATTGCATGTTTCTGTGTTTTATTTGGCTTTTCAAATGGTATTTACAATTCTCTTCATTACGTTGTTGTAAAGGACTCTGTATACAAGGAACACTTTACAGGTGCAATTGGACTCGACCTTACAGCATTTGGTTTGGGGTGTTTCGTCGGTATTCCCATAGCAGGTAAGTAGTGAATACTGTCATAATTTGCTAACTAGATCATGCTCTACAGAATTATACGAGTACAGTTCAATATGCATAATCTGGCACAATAAATTTAGTTATTAAGATACATGGACGTGGATGATGATATCAAACATAACCATTTTCAAGAAAAATCTTACAGCACATATACCAACATGCTAATAATTAGCACTGTTACAGACATGCTAATAATTATAGCACTGTTACAGACATGCTAATAATTAGTACTGTTACAGACATGCTAATAATTAGCACTGTTACAGACATGCTAATAATTATGGCACTGTTACAGACATGCTAATAATTGTGTTATATGAGTGTCGATTAAGATATTGACAAGTCACTCAGTTCTATATCACCAATATATCGTTTTATTCACTCTTCACTGTGTTCAACTTATTCACATGAATCACGATAAATCAGTCATGTGGTCCTTAATCACAGTTCACATTGGCAATCACAATCACAATCACGTAAAACTGTGAAGCAAAATAAAATAATAACAATCTTAAGTACACAAATACAATAACATATTATTCTGAATGAGATAGTGCGGTAAAACGCCATCAACAGCTAATACAAGTGCGAACGAATTGGGGTCATAGGTCAGACCAACACAACACGACCATTTTATACCACTCGGGTTCACGATCAGAAAACTCTCGATTTCTCTTGCAAAAGACTTCAAAATTACACAAAATCATATCGACTGAAATCGGTGTATGTTCAAAAAACTATAAAATCATACCTCGTTTCCGGGTCACAGCTAATAGTCATGAAAAACTAGAGAAAGTGGACGCACATTACAACTGCGTCATAACTATTTAATCTTCGCTGGAGACCTTCAACCCCAGAGGGCGCTATGCACCAGAAGGTAAAACAGCACTTAAACAGCGCCAAAGCGCAAAACGAATAGACAACACTCCGCAGGAGTTACAATAATTATAGCACTGTTACAGACATGCTAATAATTATATAGCACTGTTACAGACATGCTAATAATTATATAGCACTGTTACAGACATGCTAATAATTATATAGCACTGTTACAGACATGCTAATAATTAGTACTGTTACAGACATGCTAATAATTAGCACTGTTACAGACACAAACATGCAACCAAGATTATCATAAGAGCATCAGACAAGAAATATGACTACATATCATATGTCCTGACCAAATATGGTAATGTGATCTCATTGATATGCATAATTCTATCTAGAGAACTATATTACACATAAGCTTGTAAGCACAACCAATGCTATAATTGTATCACCAAATGAGAGATATAGCTTACATATCAGATGACCATATATGGCCATGTGACTTCATTAATATGCATACCTTAATTTTAGTTGTTTAGTGATATCTTAGAAACCAACAAACTGTAATTCACTGATGCAAAATATAAAAAATACATGTTTGTTAATTATCTTAATTTGCATAAATTAGGCAATTTTATGATAACCATGTTCCCTATTTCTTATTCATGTACAATGTACCTCCAATACTCTCAGTTCTTTCTAAGATGTCTTTGATTAACTCCTGTATGCGATGCAGAGTGGAATCGTTCATAGTTATCTTGTGAGTGTGTGCATTGTGTGAAACATGAGCCATTACATTAAACAAACCTGTCTTGAATAATTGAAAAAAGTAAATTGAATACACCCAAATAAGTGAGAAAAGTAAAGTCATTACATTGAATACACCCAAATAAGTGAGAAAAGTTAAGTCATCACATTGAATACACTCAAATAAGTGAGAAAAATAAAGTCATTATATTGAATACACCCAAATAAGTGAGAAAGGTAAAGTCATTACATTGAATACACCCAAATAAGTGAGAAAAGTAAAGTCATCACATTGAATACATCCAAATAAGTGAGAAAAGTAAAGTCATTATATTGAATACACCCAAATAAGTGAGAAAAGTAAAGTCATTACATTGAATACACTCAAATAAGTGAGAAAAATAAAGTCATTATATTGAATACACCCAAATAAGTGAGAAAAGTAAAGTCATTACATTGAATACACTCAAATAAGTGAGAAAAATAAAGTCATTATATTGAATACACCCAAATAAGTGAGAAAAGTAAAGTCATTACATTGAATACACTCAAATAAGTGAGAAAAATAAAGTCATTACATTGAATAAACTCAAATAAGTGAGAAAAGTAAAGTCATGACATTTAATACACCCAAATAAGTAAGAAAAGTAAAGTCATTATATTGAATACACTCAAATAAGTGAAAAAATAAAGTCATTACATTGAATACACTCAAATAAGTGAGGAAAGTAAATTCATTACATTGAACACACCCAAATAAGTGAGAAAAGTAAAGTCATTATATTGAATGCACCCAAAATATGTGAGAAAATTAAAGTCATTACATTGAATACACCCAAATAAGTGAGAAAAGTAAAGTCATTACATTGAATACACCCAAATAAGTGAGAAAAGTAAATCTGTTACATTGAATACACCCAAATAAGTGAGAAAAGTAAATCCATTACATTGAATACACTCAAATAAATGAGAAAAGTAAATCCATTACATTGAATACACCCAAATAAGTGAGAAAAGTAAATCCATTACATTGAATACACCCAAATAAGTGAGAAAAGTAAATCCATTACATTGAATACACCCAAATAAGTGAGAAAAGTAAATCCATTACATTGAATACACTCAAATAAATGAGAAAAGTAAATCCATTACATTGAATACACCCAAATAAGTGAGAAAAGTAAATCCATTACATTGAATACACCCAAATAAGTGAGAAAAGTAAATCCATTACATTGAATACACCCAAATAAATGAGAAAAGTAAATCCATTACATTGAATACACCCAAATAAATGAGAAAAGTAATATCACACATACACAGTAAACTATGATGACTATTATTTATAATGGTTTGCTTACCTTTTGTCAAAAACATTGTATTCTTCTTTATAATCATCATGCCCATCATTTTTGGTTGGTCTTTCCAGCATAAAATAGAATCGATTTATTACCAATATTTGTGATTTATATTCTAGGGCCATTTATAGTCTTGTAGACTTAGAAACAAAATCAAATTAGATAAGTCTAAGTGAACATATGTGTTACTAATCTCCAGTAATTTAAGAATCGTTTTATTTTGCAGGAAAGTTGTACGACATATTTGGTTCAGCAGATGTTGCATTTTATTGCACAGGAATTAGTGCACTAATAAGTGCTATTGTGTTTAGTTTAACTCATATCCTACAGAGACGACATAACAACCATACTATGAGAAGAACATATCAGACAGATGAGAAGCAACATTCTGAGAATATTAGCATGACATGTGAAGATGATAAAACACTGTTTCAATTAATTTCTGTAATGTAAGACATCATTTTGTATTTGATTAAAAGACACATTGAAAGAAATACACCTTTGCGACATTACTCCAATGAAGTGAACCATTGAATGATTAGATTGAGATCTGTGGGGCATTGTACAGGATCAATAATCACTACTACGGGTCCACTCCTCACTTAAAACCCTTTATTAGGACTCAAAAACAAACAGAGTCACATGGTATATTTATTTCTCATGCAAATCAGTGTTGCCAATAGCTAAACGTCCATGCTCTCTCTTAGGCTTAATTAAAACCATGAATTGATTGATGTACAGCATACATTCATGATATATACATGGTATGGTGTCTCTTAGGTTTGTAAGGAATAAATTGCATATGTTTCTACAGTGTTATAGTAGATCAGGATTTTCAGAACTGAAATAAACGTGAAATGTACTATTAAAGATATATATTTACCCCGTCTGGTGCCCACTTAATTGTAGGTAATGCTTTTATTGATCATATGATTTAATTTCAATACTAACAGTTGGAGGGGTGTCAGAGTGATTTAGCGGCTCATGATGAACTATGCCCTCAATGGCTGCTGTATTGCAACCAAAGTTGATATTTTCAAAGCAGCGATGTCTTGTAACATATTCTTTGGGCTAGTGTTTTTAGATTTACCTGTTTTGTGTGCTTTTTGATTGATGAAGAACTCCTTCATTTTTTAATTTCTTTAATGTGGGAAAAACAAACAACAACAAAATTCCTGGCCCCAGGCACGTTTTATTGCAATATTAATTTCTGGACTCAAGCATGTTTATTACCAAATTCATACCTAGAAAATGTTCTTTCTCAGGCGAGTAGAATAGTGCCCTGTATTTCATCTGTTTAGTTGCACTTCTGTCTCTATTCATATACAGGCTGGTAAGAGGCATAGAGGCAATGAACGTGCGTAGCAAGGCCACTACTAGTTTATTACCGGTATATATATGGCTGAAGGTATACAGGAGTGTATACGATGACAATAAAGAACTCAAGAGGGCGCTGCCCGATGTCAACCCAATCAACTCAATAATAACAAGATAGTTATGTCTATGTGTTGTCTATATAAGGACAGTCTGTCACAGTTGCCTTAAATTTAAATGACTAGAATGAACAATGACAATTTCTGTTTTTTTCTGAGTTGTTTTCATTAATGTTTGTTTTAATCTTGTCTTTTTCGGTACCATTAATGGACACTGATACAATACACTGGGTTTTCTAAATTTTAATATGAGTTGATTTTTATTATTGATTTTTTTTTCTTGGGGTAACGGCCTTGTGGTTTTGTATATTATAGAATTGTAACAAGTTCAAAAACAAAAGAACACGGTAGTACAGCAATTGCGGGCGCAGTTCATGCTGAGCCGCTAAATCGCTCTGATTCCCCCTTCCTGTAAGGGTATTCGGAGCATTAGAATAAAAACGGATCATCAGAAAAAAAATATTACCTACAATAAAGAACACTACATGCATTATCATAAAAGTATCGTTTTGATAGACAATACTACACTATACATATTTATTTTTTCCGAGTATTGAGTGTTTAAGGTAGCGAGACTATTATTTGTGTTGAAAATTACGATTTTCACATTTATTTATTAATTGATGAAATGCACTATAAACTTTCATATGATAAAGTCAACATAACATAGAATGTCATGTAAGTTGGTTAAAATGTAGATTTTCTGAAGGAAAGCAAGGCAGCCTCAGTAGTGTTTTCCAAAATCAACAACACAGGTTTAATCTGTGTGCCTATAAGTTTCAAAGATAAACTCAAGACAAAGCAATGTTAGGATGTGTTATCAGTAGCTATCTGACACACAATGAGTGTTTCCAAACATTTGAGTGGTTTGTCCCCGCCCCTGTTTGTTTCACAGATTAGTCATTTGCATATGAATGTGTCAGACACAAGGTCACACATCATTGATTTTGGTGTTTTCATATGCCGAATTTATCCAAATATAGCTATCCCATTTCTTTATTTTTTTGGTTTCCAATAGCCTTACACATTTTGATGTCCCTACACATGTTAAAACAGACCTTGATGGGAAAACAAATTGATTGTGCCGATAAACAAGCTTGAAAATCTTTGCTGTGACTTCATGGACGTTTTCTAGGAGTTTATGTTTTTCAAAATACAAGGTCTTTAACAAAAAATAACGTATACTTATTGTCGTCGGATTAACACCAAATTTTCACAGCTTTAAGGTGATAATGAGAGGAACTTGAATGTGTCCAGACAAACTATTTAATCGATTATTTACCAACGAGTTGTGGTTTGAGTTGGGGGCAATGCGACTAAAACAGTAATTGAAATTCAGCACACTATTTTTTAAAACGCGTTGCTTGAATAAAACTGACCAGACACATTCAATTTACCAGACTATTGAACAACTAGGAAAAGTGAAAAAAATACTTCTTATCGCCAGCATAAATGCGTAATTATTTTTTTTACAGAAAAAGTAATTTTTCACCTTTGGTTGAGTAACGCGTCGTAGAATGCAGATACGGGCATGCAAAATACACTTGTGAAAAGCTTGAAGTCTGGCGATTCTAAAAATATATACTTTCCCGGGTCTCTTTGTAGTCATTTAGTCACAACTAGAAGATGAAAACAAGTATGCAAATAATAGTCCCGCTACCTTAATAGTTAATTGCTTTTATATTAGCTTTGCTGTTGACAAGATCGCCAGAGCAGAGCCATTCTTATTTCTGATTATTGATCGTACATCATCGCCATCGGCAACTTTACATTTTCGACTTTTTAAAAACTGCCATCTGTATGGTTTCCAACTTTAAGTTATTACAAATGTACCTTGGGCAAAGAATTGCTCGTTTCTGATATATATGATAATATTTTTCTAATGGCTTCCTATCGGAGATGGTTGGTCCGATCACTTTCATATTTTATATGTAGATACTTTGGGTAGAATTCCGTCAGATTTGTTCATACTTTTAATTGTCTTTTAATGAATATTTTGGTAAAAACTAGTAGCCCAATTTCTTCAATTTTAATTTTTTTCTAATTTAAAAAAAATCTATTTTCGACTTTGATATTTGACATTAGGGTCCTTTACGTAGACGTATAACTGTCGTTGTCAAGTTTTAGTGAATATTTTGGTAACAATTTACCTTCCTAAAGTTTAGTATCACGGGGGTAAAATCTTCTCTCTCGGGGTCTCCACACTTGCCAGGGGGGAAACTCGTCTCGTCTCTCTATCTCGCCCCCTTGAGGTACGGGATCGGGAAAGTCACTTTAACTTTACAGTCAAATAAGGCACACACAACGAAATACGTTTCAACTCTCGTCTTAGTCGGTCAATCGAGCACTCTATAAGACACAGCGCCCAGGGGAAAAGTCCCCAAGACTCTCGCAAGGCT